AAGCGGAAAATAAGATCGATATCGCGCGGCACGGCCGGGCATTTGCTCGGTAATGAACCGTTCCCAGGACGGTCGACGTAAATCGTCGTACGTGGATCGTACGTACGGCCCCGGCCCGTGTGACAAACGACGCCCGTTCTCTTCTTTTCCGCCGCCAACCCCCCGCGGACCCCCTGGCCCGGATCCCAAAGCATTTTACCCGGGGGTTGAACGCGTGTCCAGGTGGCCCGTCGCCGGCAAAAGGTAGCTCGTTAAGGAGCCGGAGCCTTGTCTCCGGGAATTCTGGCCGCGTGTACGTAGATTTCCCGACGCCGAACCATCCCGCAAACCGGCAAAAAGAAGAGGCCCCGGTCAAATGGCCACGGGTTATATTGTCCAGCTGGTAACGAGCGAGGAAATCGCGTCCCCGGGTGGACCGCGGTCTTGTTAGACCAACGAGCGACGATTTGCAAAATTTCCTCGGACCGGATATCGCCGTCGTTCGAACGTAATTGGGCCCGCGCTGTTGCCGGATTTACATCCAAGCGTTTGTTTGACGGGTTTTTAACACTTCGGCCGCCGCGACTGGGGCATAGTGAAGATCATCTTAAAGATCACGACGGAAGCCGCCGATTATTTTTTTCCGACGTTTTCATCGCTCGCGAATTTCGATATAATTAAGGAATTGCAATGGGATTTGCGGGAAAGTCAATTTTCAGAAATTAAATTCGTAATTCTGGCGCTCACACGTGGATGACACGGTGGTTGAATTGTTAACAGTGTAATTAGGATACATTCTTTTTGATAGTGTAATTTCGATGCACTTTTTTAATGGTGTAATTACGATACGCTTTTTTAATAGCGTAATTTCGATGCACTTTTTTAATGGTGTCATTACGATACACATTTTTTAATAGCGCAATTTCGATGCACTTTTTTAATGGTGTAATTACGATACGCTTTTTTAATTGTGTAATTTCGATACACTTTTTTAATGATGTCGTTACAATACACCTATTTAAATAGCGTAATTTCGATACGTTTTTTTAATGGTGTAATTTCGATACGCTTTTTTAATGGTATAATTTCGATACGCTTTTTTAATGCTGTAATTATGAAACATGATACACGATGATGTACCGTAGATTTAAAAGCACATTGTGTTAAGAAAGAGCAAAAATATACTTGAGAGCAACATCTGTACTTGTTCCAATTCTTATTGAATTTATATTGAACCGTGAACAAATTAATAACCGCAGGAATGTATTAAGAAGTCGATAAACGAAACGCCCCTAAGTGCATCATACATATTCCGTACGATTTATATTCAATTTATATTCAATTTATAACAAGATCGTATCCGTACAAATGAATGAATAAATTCACGAACTAAGTACCTTCCAAGTCCATCATCCATATTCTTTGCAATTTATCTGCAATTTATATTCAAATTGCACCGAATGTATTTGCAATGCATTACACGGCCGATTAAATCCGCCGTGTACATGGAATGTCGATCATAATTACGTCCACTTTTTTAAATGAAATTTCGATCCATATTTCTGTATGTATGTATCTATCCAGATTAAATATCGGCGAATAAAATGACTAAGTACGTAATTTCCATATTTTATCCGATTTATATCCAATTTATATTAAAATTATATCTGCTATACGCGCGACGTATATTATCAATCGTTAACCACATAGTACCGCACACAAACAGACATCGGAAACACCTATTTTTAATCCGATTTATACGTTCACGTTTAACCTGTGCCCAGAGTTGATATGCAATTCGTATCCAAAAATTAAATATGAATTGTATTTAAATTATATTTAAATTTTATTTAAATCACACCCCTAAATTGTATTCACGTGAATAAATAGAAAAACATACTTCGTCCAAATCGTAGCAAATTAAATTTGATCCGATTGCGGAATAATGTACTCGAAATCGAATCGTATTGTATCCGTACAAATCGATGAAATATCGAATAACAAAATATCTAGTTACAACGTCCATATCAAATTCAATTTATACACAATCGATGTTCAATTTACATCTAATTCATACGCAAATCGTGTCTAAATTGTATCGAAATAATGGGACAAAAGAAATTACAAAACAAAGTATCTAAAAACCGGTATCTACACTTTATCCAATTCACAATCTTTTCATGTTCAAATCGCACCCAATACATACAAAGTAAATTCTCTTTAATTTTCCTTCAGCTTGTAAACAATAATAGACAATCTGGAAGGGGGAGATACGATTATTCGAGCCTCGTGGCTCATTTTTATAGATGCCGATTGTATAATAATATTCTATAATAATATATTATTGCAACATAATATTATTATACAATATATTATTCTAACATAATAATATTATACAATATATTATTGTAACATAATATTATTACACAATATATTATTCTAACATAATATTATTACACAATATATTATTCTAACATAATATTATTACACAATATATTATTGTAACATAATATTATTACACAATATATTATTGTAACATAATATTATTACACAATATATTATTGTAACATAATATTATTACACAATATATTATTCTAACATAATATTATTACACAACATATTAATATTGTATGATAATATTATGTTACAATAATAACAGTAATAAAAATGAGCTGTAAGGCTCAGATAATCGTATCCCCTATTCCCAAATTGTCCATTTCTGTTTACAATTACCGCCAGAATTCTACCAAAAATTATACATAAAAATAACGCCGTCCAATTTCCGAGCCCCGATACTTGGTTCGACAGCAAGAAACAGATAATCCCCTCTCCGATTACGGAAATACGAGCTCCGGGGACTGTCAAATATCTATCAAACGTTTTCCGGTTCCCCGGAAGCCTTTGATAGACGCAGCGTCGCGCAATTTCGCGTGCTTCCCCGTCGAAGTATCGCGGAAGAATCGCGCGGTTTGGTTCGCGGAAACCGATTCGATCCATGTGTAATGTACACACGTATTTCCGCGAGGGTATCCGACGGTTTTAATATGGTATCAGAGAGATCGCGGAGCCGCGGTCGGCGTCGGTAGAAAAATAAACAAGAATAATATTTACTTAGCCATGCGATACGATACGCGAACCAAAGGAGAAGCCGGGGCCACAGCTCTCGACCGCGACTTAACTCGAAACAATAGATCGGGCAACGGCGAGCGTAAATATTTCTCCGAGTAGGATACGGCAAACACGGCGTCGAATTCGGGCTCGGGTCGGTCTCCAGCCCGGATCGGGTTCCCGCGGGTCTCTTAGGAACCCTTTCGTCGCTCGCGGGATACGAACGCAATAAAGAAGAACAAACAATCCAGCGTACTCGATGAAGTCTCCGAAGACCGTGCCACGATTTTGCGGTTTGAACGATTCGCATAAATAAGGGTCGATTGTGAAAACGGACTTGTCATCCGAACGTAAGACGCCGCCGCTCTGGGTCTATTGTCCTTCCGAGATTATGTTAAATGTTTATTTTGAGACGATCCCGGGGGACGGATGCTGGCAGACGCGGTATTTGGATCGCGAGCATGTTTATGCAATTTTCTTAGAAACGAAGAGTGTTTTTTTTAAGAATTAATTTCGAGAAGAATTAATTTTTTTTTTAAGAGCGGTGGTGCTGTTTGTTGTTTCGATTAGAAGATTCGAAGCAGCGAGGGTGCGACGGAGATGCATTTTGTTAGTTACTTTTGGTGAGAAAAATTGACAGTTGATTTAATTTTAGTTTTTTGATGAGTTATTGGTGCAATACTCTGTAATGTGACGTCTCTGTGAAATTTAGCAGACATAGCAATTGCTTCGAGAAACTAAGGTTTCAAAACAATCTGTGTTTGTACTTTTTGTGTTCAGACATGAATAGAATTTCAAATAATTAGTGAGTATTTTGAGATATGAAATACTATTTTAAATGATTAATAGTATTTTGGACGTGTGAAATACTATTTTCAATAAATAATAGAAATTTAGACACGTGAAATACTGTTTTAAATAGTTGATAGTAACTTTGACACACGAAATACTGTTTCAAATAATTAATAGAAATTTAGACACGTGAAATACTGTTTCAAATAATTGATAGAAATTTAGATACATGAAATACTATTTTAAATAATTAATAGAAACTTTGACACATGAAATACTGTTCCAAATAATTAATAGAAACTTTGACACATGAAACACTGTTTCAAATAATTAACAGAAATTTAGACACATGAAACACCATTTCAAATAACTATTTCTAGCACGCCTTAAAAAAATACAATTTCAAGTAATTATTTCCAGTATATATTAAGAAACTACAATCTCAAACAATTATTTCCAGCTTAACAAAATATACTTCAACCAATAATTTCCTTTGCCACACAAACAGCTATCCTCAATACAAACACTTCTCTCTATACAGTCCAAATAAACCTAGTAATACCATTTCCCAAAGACACGAGTATCTCGTTAACTATTTCCCAACATACTTTCTCAAGCATTTTCACCAAGGTCCGAGGGTCTCGCGCGGACGTCGCAGAGTAAACATTTCCGGAAATAAATCTAAATTCGCGGAAGCTCGCGTTCTCAACTTCGTAGAACCGCGCGCAGCATCCCTCGCAATCCGAAAACTCGAGTTCCCAATGTCCCGGCGAATAAGTCGTAACCGCGGCTCATTAACAGCGGCCGCTGTTCGCGTTAAATCGCGTCCCGTTAATTCGAGTTTTCCGATCGTTACCGTCGATTTACCCCGCGCAAAGAGATATCAAGATCTACCACTCGGAGAGCAGACGAAACGAGAGGGGAAAAAAAAGAGAAACGAAACGAAAATGAAGGAAAAAACACGGAAAATAAAAGAGAAGAATAGAGAGAGAAAGAGAGAGAGAGAGAGAGAGAGAGAGAGAAAAACGTAGAAAGAAATCGTAAAACCGGAGAGTTCCGGCGCGGTAATTCGATCGCTGGCTACCGGAGTCGGAACGCCGGGTAATAATGAAAATACTTACGAGCTAACGAAGGTCGGAAATGGATCGCTCGCTGATAACTCAGAATGGCCTCCTCGTAATTCTTTCTTCCCTGCTGTAAAATTCCCCTGGAACAGAAAGGGCGGAACCGCCGGTTAGTGAAACGGCCGCGACCCTCTTCCGTTTATATAGAATTTCGTTCGGGAATTAGCCGGTGGCCGTTCCGCGATTTCCACGGGCAGCTTCCGTTTTTGCCGAATAACACTGTGCCGGTGGCATCGTTTTCCATCTATAACCGTGGCGCGCGCCGTGTCCGGCGCGAACGATTAATCTTCCTTCGAGCAATGTCACTCTCAGAAATGATAAAAATATTGCTTGTCAACCGGTGACTTATCGCGCGAAAGTCGACGAAACGCCGGCGAACTGGGAGGCGGTGTGGGCACCCGTGGGCGCCAATAAACGAACTTTATAACACTTATACCGGAGCGTGCGCGCGCGCGCGAACCGGCCGCCATCGCGCGGCACATATTTTAGGGGACGAAAATTCATTTGAACGCGGCCCGGTGATTAATCTCGCCTCGAACGTTGTCAAGCGGCCGACGATGAAAACATCAGCTGTCCCGGGGACCGTGATTTACCGGGACCAAGCGCGCTTTTATCGCGCTGATATTTCTCCACGGGGACGCCTCGACGAGCCTAAACGCGCGCCAAGGAATCGCAGCCGATAGCCTGAAATCGATTTATCGAGGTTCTTCGAATTTTTACGGTGCTCCGGAGCCTGTAGAACGGCGGAGATCGTGGACGGAGATCGCAGCCGGAACGAGGCAAAATTGAACGTGAGATCGTTGAATTTTGCTTGAAATAATTGCGGTTATCGGTAACTGTTATAATCGACGGGAATAGTTTTAATCGATAAATATTATAGATGACGAAAATCGTTTCTTTTTTCGTTATTTTATAAGAATTGTTGCCCACGATATCGACGAGCAGGATTTTCTCTTCTCACCTCTGAAAATATGTGAAAGTTAACTACGCTCGTTATTGTTGTGTAATTAGTTTCGTTACTTTTCTTTATGTAGAACGATCTTCATCATGTTCAATATTAGTTTCAAGAGTTATTCGTTCGATATTTATTCTTTAATTATTGTTTTACATTCATTGTGGAAGTGCAGTAATTTCTCCCGGAAATGCCGAATTTCGGGTTGCTGCGAATTTGCGCTAGTCTCGCGTCTATGTGACTTATTGCTACGTCGATGCCAAGGGTCGGTGATTTCTCTTTAATTTATCCTGGATATTGTAAACGAAGACGGAGACAATTTGGGAGGAAATTGTTCGAGCCTTGCACTTCGTTTTTATAATTGTTGACGCTAGGTAATCATAAAAATGAGCAGCGAGGCTCGAGCAAATCGTCCATTTTTGTTCACAAGCTGAAGAAAAATTAGGCAGACTTTACTGCATTTGTGGGAGAAATTATTGTATTTGTCGAATTTACATTACAAGACCAAATTTCCCGGCTCGTAAAATACAACGCGGACCAGTTATTGGTTTCAGAACAATTACCGGCACCGCAGTCCAAAATTCGACTTTACCAGTTGCCGAACTCCGTTTACCGAACGCGAGTGTTATACATATATATCTCCCATAATAGCGACCCCCTAATTCGCTACTCCCATCGGCGTTCATCAGTACGACGAGTTCGTGGCATCTGAATCAAGATGGACAGACAGACAGATAAATAGATAGATAGATAGATAGATAGAGATAGAGAGAGAGAGAGAGAGAGAGAGAGAGAGAGAAAGAGGGAGAGAAAACAAGAGAGAATGAGAGAGAGAGAGAGAGAGAAAGAGGGAGAGAAAACAAGAGAGAATGAGAGAGAGAGAACAGGAGAAAGAGAACGAGTAATGTCTCCCTAACTAACGCTCAGATTCTGCACAAAAATGGACAATTTGGGAAGAGGGGAAACGATTATTGGAGTCTTGCGGCTCGTTTTAATAGTTGTTGACAATTCGTGACTATAAAAATGAACCGCAAGGATCGAATAATCGTATCTCCTCTTCCTAAATTGTCCATTTTTGTGGACAATCTGAACGTCAATTAGAGAGACATATATACATATAGAGAGGGAGAACGAGAAAGAGGGAGAGAGAGAACGAGAGAGATATATAGAGAGATAGAGATCGAGAGAGAGAGAGAATGAGAGAGAGGCAGAGAGAGAACAAGAGAGGGAGAGAGAGAACGAGAGAGAGGCAGAGAGAGAATAAGAGAGGGAGAGAGAGAACGAGAGAGAGGCAGAGAGAGAATAAAGAGAGAGAGAGAGAGAACGAGAGAGAGGCAGAGAGAGAATAAAGAGAGAGAGAGAGAACGAGAGAGAGAATAAAGAGAGAGAGAGAACGAGAGAAAGAGAGAGAGAGAGAACGAGAGAGAGAGAATAAAGAGAGAGAGAGAGGACGAGAGAAAGAGAGAGAGAGAACGAGAAATAGAGAGAGAGAGAGAACGAGAGAAAGAGAGAGAGAGAACGAGAGAGAGAGAATAAAGAGAGAGAGAGAGAATAAAGAGAGAGAGAGAGAGAGATCCGCAGCGCGTTCGACAAACGCGTTGCAANGAGAGAGAGAGAGAAAGAGGGAGAGAAAACAAGAGAGAATGAGAGAGAGAGAGAGAGAGAAAGAGGGAGAGAAAACAAGAGAGAATGAGAGAGAGAGAACAGGAGAAAGAGAACGAGTAATGTCTCCCTAACTAACGCTCAGATTCTGCACAAAAATGGACAATTTGGGAAGAGGGGAAACGATTATTGGAGTCTTGCGGCTCGTTTTAATAGTTGTTGACAATTCGTGACTATAAAAATGAACCGCAAGGATCGAATAATCGTATCTCCTCTTCCTAAATTGTCCATTTTTGTGGACAATCTGAACGTCAATTAGAGAGACATATATACATATAGAGAGGGAGAACGAGAAAGAGGGAGAGAGAGAACGAGAGAGATATATAGAGAGATAGAGATCGAGAGAGAGAGAGAATGAGAGAGAGGCAGAGAGAGAACAAGAGAGGGAGAGAGAGAACGAGAGAGAGGCAGAGAGAGAATAAGAGAGGGAGAGAGAGAACGAGAGAGAGGCAGAGAGAGAATAAAGAGAGAGAGAGAGAGAACGAGAGAGAGGCAGAGAGAGAATAAAGAGAGAGAGAGAGAGAACGAGAGAGAGGCAGAGAGAGAATAAAGAGAGAGAGAGAGAACGAGAGAGAGAATAAAGAGAGAGAGAGAACGAGAGAAAGAGAGAGAGAGAGAACGAGAGAGAGAGAATAAAGAGAGAGAGAGAGGACGAGAGAAAGAGAGAGAGAGAACGAGAAATAGAGAGAGAGAGAGAACGAGAGAAAGAGAGAGAGAGAACGAGAGAGAGAGAATAAAGAGAGAGAGAGAGAATAAAGAGAGAGAGAGAGANAGAGAGAGAACAGGAGAAAGAGAACGAGTAATGTCTCCCTAACTAACGCTCAGATTCTGCACAAAAATGGACAATTTGGGAAGAGGGGAAACGATTATTGGAGTCTTGCGGCTCGTTTTAATAGTTGTTGACAATTCGTGACTATAAAAATGAACCGCAAGGATCGAATAATCGTATCTCCTCTTCCTAAATTGTCCATTTTTGTGGACAATCTGAACGTCAATTAGAGAGACATATATACATATAGAGAGGGAGAACGAGAAAGAGGGAGAGAGAGAACGAGAGAGATATATAGAGAGATAGAGATCGAGAGAGAGAGAGAATGAGAGAGAGGCAGAGAGAGAACAAGAGAGGGAGAGAGAGAACGAGAGAGAGGCAGAGAGAGAATAAGAGAGGGAGAGAGAGAACGAGAGAGAGGCAGAGAGAGAATAAAGAGAGAGAGAGAGAGAACGAGAGAGAGGCAGAGAGAGAATAAAGAGAGAGAGAGAGAACGAGAGAGAGAATAAAGAGAGAGAGAGAACGAGAGAAAGAGAGAGAGAGAGAACGAGAGAGAGAGAATAAAGAGAGAGAGAGAGGACGAGAGAAAGAGAGAGAGAGAACGAGAAATAGAGAGAGAGAGAGAACGAGAGAAAGAGAGAGAGAGAACGAGAGAGAGAGAATAAAGAGAGAGAGAGAGAATAAAGAGAGAGAGAGAGAGAGATCCGCAGCGCGTTCGACAAACGCGTTGCAAATAAACAGCGTCCTATTTATAAATTGGGCAGTGCGCTCCGTGTAATTAGACAGTCGGAGTTCAGGAGAAGGAGAGCCCGCGGAGCTCTCGATCGTACTCGAGAGAGAGAGAGAGAGAGAGAGAGAGAGAGAGGCCGGCGTTTCTCCGATATCTTGGGTAGAACGGGCTTCGAATAATAAATCGGGAGGAGTACTCGGGACAATCGCAAATCGGTACAAATGAGATGGATTGTTAGGGGACGCGGGGCTGGAAGCGAGGGAGCGGGCCGGAGCGGTGGTGGTAATAGGCGGCGGAAGAGAGAAAAGAGTCCATTATATATTGCGCGAATATTCATCTTGAAAGTTAACGAACGCAGCGCGGCGTCTCGTTAGCGAACAGGAAAACTCCTCCGGTCCGGAGCGGTTCGCTTGTCCGGAAAGGAAATATCCTGGTCTCTTTCCTGCTCATCGGGCCGCCGCGGCCTCCCCCCCCCCCCGGCGACACTTTCTTTCCTTTCCAACCCCTCCCGCACCCCGCACACCGGACCGACCGAAGTATTTTCAGTCTCTCGAACGCTCACAAAGCGTGTCATTAGTATAACTTTTTTCCCGGCGCGGCGTCGTCCGCGACAAGTTGAGGAGGCCGCCCGTCGACGAGCTGTTGTTTCATTTCGGGCCACCGGATTTTTCGAGCCGGCCGAAGTAATGAAATTCCGCGGAGGGCGGCCGCCGCGGCCCGCGGTCCGCATCGATCCCCGAAGCCGCCGCGATTGTTAGCGAAATATTAACGGCCCTGCCGGAATTTCCGTTGTCGATTCGACGACGCGTCGCGGCCTCGGCGCGATCGGCAATTTGCGGAGATATTCGCCGGAGGATCGGGCTACGGATCGGCTGATCGATCGACGCGCAGCGGGAATTGTTATTTTCGGAAAATTGTCCAACTAACTGTTGTTGTTGGTGGTGGTGTGGTGGTGGTTTTTTGGAAATTA